CGTTCGTGAAGGATCGGCAAGTGGCGACAGAATTCTTCGCGCTGCTAACCGTGCAGAAGTGTGATGCTGCGAGTATCTTCACCGTCCTCCTAAGCCACCTGGAGACCGTCGGTCTAGAACTGCAGCGGATCGTCGCCATCAGCACCGACGGAGCGGGTGTGATGGTTGGCTGCGAGCGGGGTTTGACGGTGCGCCTCCGTGAGCGCATCCCTCATCTCGTCGGCACGCACTGCATAGCACACAGGTATGCGACGTCAATGGTTTTCCCGTGTTGTTCAGTCAGGCAACTTCAAGTGTTCTGACAGTTTTTTAAAACCATGTGCAGAGAAGTACTTGCAGTGAAGGAGTCGGCACTGAAGTACAAAGACCTCGACTTCGTGGACGCAGCTATCCGTGGGCTCGGCGACATCGTCACGAAGTCGTCCGTCTGGCACGAGCGCTTCAAGGAGCTGCAACAAGAGATCCACAAGACAAACCTCGAGCACCAGGGCCTTTTCGACGTGAGGTGGTTGTCGCGTGGAGACGCCGTGCAGCGGCTGTGCAAGGTCCTAGGTGCGGCGGTCGTAGTCTTCATCGAGTACGGCCACAAGTTAGCCGCCACGGTGCAGTCTCTGAAGTTCCACTTCTGCGTCTACTTCCTGGCGGATCTCCTGGTTGAGATCAACACCCTCAACAAGTTTTTCCAGCGCCGGAGAGTAAGCTATTTATAGTTTGATGTTTACTGTAGTCGGAGTTATGCATTTTGGGTTGTTAGCTCTTACCGCTGTCAACGTGTTTCCGCCACGATTACAGGTTGACATCACGCTCGTGCACCAGGAGGTGGACCGCACGATTGCCTGCATCAGGCTGCGCTACGTGGAGTACGACGAGAGCGGTTTTGGGGGTGGACTCAGCAAGCTTCTTATGCCATTCATCGCTCGCATGGCCAAAGGGAACAGGACGATCAAGGTGGACGGCGTGGATGCGGAAGGCGAGGCAACATCGCATGAGATCGTGCTGACCGAGACGCCGATAAAGGGACACAAGTACGGCGGAACGATGGCCGACTGCATCAAGCTGTGCAAGGCGTTTGCTCTGGAGGTGGCGACAAACCTGCACACACGCATGTACAGCCTGAAGGAGATGGAGGGCAGCAAACTGTACAAGGTGGAGTCGTGGCCAGAGGCGAAAGACAAACGGGAGCGACGAGTGGTGCAGTGGTTGGACGCCAACGCGCGTGTCTTCAAAAACAGGCTGCCAGGTGTGTTGTTGACCACGTGTACATAGCTATTCTACTGTTCACACTGTGTTCGTGGTGCCAACATGGATCCCACAAACCTGTTGACTGATATCATTTTTGAACTTTTTTTGGCAATTTATGTTGCAGGGTTCAACCACCGTGCGGCCGAGCTGGAACTGAAGAGCTTCTGCCACGTCATGTCGCGCCACTACGAGGACGAGGACTTCTACCAAGGGCTTGCAAAGATGCTGAAAACCAAGGACTGGCCACGCAGCTTCCCGAACCTGGTATCGATGTGGCAGGCGCTTGCAGTCATTCCGCTAAGTACCGTGGAGTGCGAGCGCGGATTCAGCCGGCAAAACGTCATCAAGAGCTGGATGCGCACATCGCTCGGCGACACCCGGCTATCCGAGCTGATGACCCTCAACATGCTGGACTACGAGTACAAGTGGCCCGATGTGGTGGACATCTGGCGGAAGCAGAAGAAGAGGAGACCCGCAAAAACACCCGCCTCGTACAAGCAGTGTACTGGAAAGGGCAAGGCTGTAGTGGAGTCGTCTGATAGCGAGGACAACCATGATGTAGAGTGAATGGGTACAATTTAATATTACAAAATGGCATACTAAAGAAAAAAGACTAAGCATACATCCATCAGTGCACGGAATAAACCTACACTGATGACCTAGTGTAAAATTCTCAAAACAAGGAGTTACACTGCAAGATCAGTGTACTGGAAAATTTCACACTGCTCATAAGTGTTTTTGAAAAGGCCACACTGCCAATCGTGAGTTAGCCAAAACCAAACCTGAGCCCTGGTCGTGGCGCTGCTGGATGTGGCTGCTTCTCCAATTTCAAGCTTCAAGCCAAGGGAGAATCCGAATTTGTGTGTCCCCACAAATATGTCAGGGCACGGGAGCGTTCTCACGCTTCGCTACAAACATGACATTATAGTGAGAGAGGAGCACCTGATTTTTCAAGTTCCCAAATAAACAACCCTGGGCAACAGAGCACTAAAATAAATTAAAAGCCCCGACCTAGGGGGCATCTACAATATCTGGGGGAATGCGGTAGGTACCAACAAAAGGAGAACTGCAAATATGTGGGGAAAAAACAAATCCAGTAAAAAATACTTCAGCTGTGTATCTGATGTGCGTGATGCGGCATCCACAAAGCATACGGTAGGTAACCTCCACTTCCACACATCACCCTGTCTTAGTGCACGAGCACTGGCAGCTCATGGGGTTGCTGGCACTCGCACAGTTGCAATCGCACGTCATCTTCACACTGCCTCCAGTCGGGGGAGGCGGCGGCGGGGGAGGAGTGCCACCCCCCCCACCGGTACTGTCAGCAGGAAGGGCGTTTTGCAGGACGCACTTGCTCTTGACGCGGTCCCAGTTGAGCTGAACGAGGAACTTCATGCCATTCAGCCCCACCACATTGTACTCGTAGCTCTGCCCGTTCTGCAGGGATCCCGTCTTGGTGCTGCCGAAATTCCACGCGCACTTGTCGGCGTTCTCCTCGCCGTCGTCGTCAAACCACCCGGCGTTCGTATCCGGGTCGGTGGCAGCTTCGGTGAGCTCGTGCGCGAGCGTGGAGATAATAGCATCGACGGCAGGCTTGCCGTTGGGTGACGTGCTCTTTACCCCGCATGCGCCGGGGCACTGCCCGTGGTGCCCCACAAAGGCGTAGCGCAGAGGCGTGGAGTTGAGGGAGTCTTGGGTGTGCCAGCCGCAGTACTGCGAGCAGAAGCCAGGCAGCGTGACGTCGGCGCTGGGTAGCACCACGTAGATGCCCTGTGGGTCCAGCGGCAAAGGCTTGCCCGCTCCCACCTTGCTCTTCACAACTGCATGGGCAGCAAGGGGGCGGGTGGAGGCACGGGGAGCGGAGGACGAATAGGAGGACTGAGTTGACAAATGCTTGGGGAATGTGGGCAGGTGATGGAAGAGGGGCATGATTAAGCAAGAGTGATGTGATTCCGTGGGAATAAGCAGCACACAGAAGGGCGGAGCAGAGTGAGTGGTGAGGGGCGGCACACAGAAGGGCGGAGCAGAGTGAGTGGTGAGGAGCAGCACATACTGGTGAGCACGTCTGCGTCCGACAGCTGCTTGCCGCGTGAGTAGTTGTCGCTCACAGTTCCCGCAAGGCGAACCTGCGTCACAGGCAGATGACAGCAGGAGGGCGTGCAAGAGGGTGTGCAAGGCGGAATGAATGAGGGCGCAGACGAAGGGGCACAACGAGACGCATGAGCAACGGTGTTCCTAAGCCATCCCTTCCATTCTTATTTTTGAAGACTCTTGCCATGCGTTCAGCCAGCCAGCCAGCCATGTCTCACTCACCTTGGAGCTCACGTTCTTCTTCCCGCCAGCAGCGTCGCTCTGGTAGTACGCGGCGCTGATGGCCCACCACGCCTTCACACTCGCGTCCGCCGCGCCGCTGCCCTGGCTGCCCGAGTCGCTGCTCAGCGCCTGCACGAACGCGTCGATCACCTCCCTGCCCGAACCGCCCCCCCAGCTGCCGTAGTAGATGTGGTAAACGTTCACCGTCGGTGCGCCCACCATTACGGGGCCGCCGTGGTACTTGATCGGCGCGCTTCCGGCCGGGGAGATGGCGCTCGTGCTGGCGCCGTCGGACGCGCCGTCAGAGGCGGCGGAGCGGACGAGGGGAAAGCCTACGGCTGAAACGATGCCGTCTGGGCCGCCGCGAACGACGGTGGCGGGCCGCTGCTGGTGCTGCTGCCTGCGTAGCGAGAGCTGCGCATGTGCGTGGCGTGTGAGGGATACGCGCTTCCTAGGACCGCCGGATGCTCCGATCCACTCCGATTCGGCTGGTCGAAGCGCGCCGGAGACGAGGAGCAGGACGAGCGCGAGGCGAAGGGCAGGGGAGAGAGCGAATGACGCGGCCATAATGGTGATGCCGAAAGCCGTCGAAAGGCGCGGCGAGTCAAAAAGCTCTCAGCGCGTCGTTTTGTGCGGAATGATGTGGGTGCTGCTTCAAGGTATTGCGGTGTCTGAGGATCCAGCGGCGGGGCATGCTAAAATACCCAACGACGCTCTCACGAGACCTGCATTGGGCGCGGTGCGCCATTCTCGGGACTGCTAACGGCCAGACGTGTTTCACACGCTCCAGTTGGAAGTGCTCGATGTTTCTATTGGTCGATAGTCGCCGCTACCCGGCACTGGCTACTGCGTGATTCCCGGTCGCCAGCTCGAGTCCGTGTCCGAGTCCGATATGGAAAGCAGAAAAGCAGGCCGCGGGGGGTGCGTGAGTTGCGAGGAAGAGCAGATGGAGGGGGATGAGTGGGTGAGGTGGAGTGTGGGAGACGGGTAACTCGTAACGAAGCGACGCGCAACGCAAATGTTACTCGCAGGTCAGCTCGCTTTGGCGATCGCTTCGTGTTCCAGACTGCCTGGCGGGGATAACGTCGCTGGGAGGGTATCTGCATCATGGCTTTCAAAACTTCGTTAGAAGCATGAGATATTTTATTCTCGGATCAGGTAGAAGCAGAGGCTACAAAACAAATACAAGCTTGTCAGATCTAGACATCCACCAGCAAGACATTTTCCAGTGTGATCAGAAGTGGTCGGGGCCATAGAGTGGGGCTTTAGTTGAGGCTAGTGAATAACAACTACGGTATGACACCGACACAGGCGTGCACAACATTCCGAAAACACCATCTTGATCAGTATGTATTCACCTCGAATCGAAGTACGGTATCACAAAGAAATTAACATGACCACAAAGAAACACCTATGACTGGAAACCATGTTCCAGCATGCATCTCTTAGAATCTTCCCTTGTACTTGAACATGTGCGCCTCGTCCTCCTCAGCACTGTACCCCTCCACCAGCTTCCGATTCACACTGTACATCTTCTCCCTCACATTCTTCGGCTTCTTTTTCTCATCAAACTTATCCCGCAGCACCCCGCTCTTCGCCTGCCGCACATGCTTGAGCGGCCCATTGCTCACCCTCTCGCCCTTCCTCTCCCAGTAGAAGGAGCGGTCCACCACACAGTAGAGCGCCAGGGCGGGGTAGTCCTGCCGCAGTGCAGCCAGTGTGGCGCTGTCACATGCCTTGCGAGAGGGGAAGAAGAGGAACCGCAGATTTTTAGCATCGATAGAAGGTGGCTTCGCAGGAGCCTTCTTCTTGCGACTCCCTCCCCTTCTTCCTCCGTAACCCCTCCCCTCATACTCATCCTCATTATCGAAACCATCCTCATCCTCCATATCCTCTTCCTCATCCTCATCATCCTCTTCGTCATCATCACCATAGCACCCACCCCAGCCACCGTCCTCATCCAGATCATCATCAAATTCCCCATCCTCCATGAACGCCCTGTAATTCTCAACAGTCGCCTCCCACTCCTTGTTGTGCGGCCCCTCCGCGTGCATCACAATCCCAAGGCTGCGCAGGTTCCTCCACTCCACACCCACCTCATGGATCGGAATTCCATGCCTCACTACAAGCACCTCCACGTTATGCGCTATAGTGCGCAGCCACTTGGTCCAGGAAAAGCCGGAAATGCCGTTGGGAACATGCTGCCAGGAGGGGGGCAGCTGGTAGGAGATTCCAGGGCAGCTAGACTCCTCATCACTGGCCGGGCCATTAAGGTAGGCGGCTCGCACGGATGCGACGCGGAGAGATGTGATTACAAGCCGCTCCTGGCCGTACAGCGAGAGGTGGTCAAGAGTGAGAGGGGCGCTGCTCTTGCAGGAGAGAACGAGCCACTTGGCCATCACTGACAGAGTCTTGAGCGCTGAAGAGACAGAGAGGGTGAGCTTGAACTCGTTGCTGGCAAAGCGGAAGCGGAGGAGGCGGGCGTTGGGGAAGGAGAAGGTCATAGCGTGGGAGCCAAAGATGGGTCCACGGGAGAGGTGCCAGTGCTGGTAGAGCGTGAACTCGTGCAGCTGCGGCGTGATGGAATCAAGAAGATCGAAGTTCACGTGGCTCGTATCCACCTGCTTGAGGGTCAGGCAGCGGATCGATCTCACCCACGCGGCATTCGCACAGCTCTTATCGAGGTTCCACATGCCTCGTCCCAGCTTCAGGCGCTGCAGGTGCGAGCAGTTTTGAAGGAAGCTGAGAGTCCAATCCTTGTACTCATGCTCATCGAACATGGTTACAATGCCCCGCAGCTTCAGTCTGAAGGAGGAGAGGGAGGGGCTGCAGCGAGCGATCAAGGGGCGGAGGGAGGGGAGCTGGTCCAGGTCTGTGAAGATGAGGTCGAGTGAGGTGATGTGCTGGCCGTGACGGGTGAGGAAGTAGCGAACGGTATTCTGCCAGCGCTCATCGTCGTACACGAGAGAGATGGGCTGTTTCTCTTGCACTCAGTGAGTATTGCAAAAAATGTTTGCAAAGAAAGAAAAGGAAAAAGAATAAGACCATGAGATCCACTTGATGATGTTTGCTGCATGTTCGAGATGCTCATGCGTGTTGGGCAGAAGCATGTGGGAAACATTTTCGTAAGATTTTCATCGTTCTGGATCATGGATTGCTGCAAGAAACAAAAGAGGAGCTCAGACAGCTTGAGGAACAAAATAGTTGGCCAAGTGTGTGAGAAATGGAGCAGAGGACTCACAGCGAAGGAGAGGACATGCTGGAGAAGCCTCTTGCTGGCGAGAGCGCAGCAGACTAGAGGCCAGGAGGAGCCATAGCCTCTGGCATTATCCTCATGCTGATCGGCAGCGGAGGAATTAGGGTCACTGAACATTTTCAGGAACTCCGATCGGTCGTCCGATTCCTTCTTTGAATAGTCGTACTTGAGCCTTTCAAACCCCGTGAGGCCCGTGGTGCCTTGGGCTTTGTCCTCTTGGGGGGGTGACCGCAGGAGGCAGTGGAAGATTTGGTGCCAGAGGGGAGCTGGTAGCATGTCGACCACATCATGGCGAGTGGTGGCTGCTGGGTGAAAACGATGGGTGTAAAAAGAAGCTGAATCAGAAAACAGCAGAACGGCTTGTGTAGCATTGGAGACTGAAATATGGAGGACGGACAGACGGTACTGAGAGCGATATGTATGAAGTTGCAATGGCAGAGAGAGTGAGAGACACGCTCGAACGACACATTTATACGCGAAGAGCTAGTGGAATGAAGGCTTGAGAGGAAGAGAGGTCCTACATTAAAGAGGAAATGGGATGGAAAAGTCACGTTGCACAGAGCTTCTTGCTACTTCTTCAAACCCGCTACGAATCACTTTAGTAACGGTTTCTTCTGCATTATCCTGAACAGCACTAAGAATCTGTAGCCGGAAAATGGTGTGGCTAAAACAAGAGCTAGTCTCACACGCAGAGACTTTGCGTTGCGAGTACGAACCTGGATCTTCGATTTATCAACGCTGGATTCTTCGTCGGTAGGGAGTGAATGGCGAATGAGAGAACCAATGGGATTGCAGAAGCTGGCATCCGTTGAAACGCTACTAATCTCGTCACACTTCGCGGGAATGGCGCTCCCAAGACAGTCTCGAGATTTGTTTGCACGGGAATCTGCAATGCTGCTTGCTGGGGTGTCAAATTTCAAACGAAGCGGGAATCTGAGATTTGCTGGAGGTACCGTTTCCATACTTGGTACAGTGATAGTGTAAGTCGAGTGGATTTGGTACTCGTTTCGCAACGCAGCCTGTCTCGCGAGGGAGATTTTGGACACAAAGGTTCTGTTGGTGTTCCCTGTGCAGCACCTCAAAGATCTTTGCACGAGTCTGTTTTGGATGCATCACTACAAGCACAGTGCTGTTCCAAGTTTCAGAGAAATCGTTCCAGCAGACAGGCACTGTTGCGCAAAGATCCACTGTTTTAGCGGCGCCCTTGAGTCGACTCACAGGCATCGCACAGGGATCGCGCAGACATCCACACGCATTGCACACGCATCGCACAGGAACCGCACATGGATCAGTCGAGAAGGGAGCGGCCGCTAAATAAGTCGCACGAGCGGCTGCCGCGATGGCGCGAGGGCGCGCAGCGGGCGTGCGGGGAGGGAGAGCGACGCGCGGGGCAGGGAGGGGGTTCCCCTCTCTCGCGCGCTCTGCCGCTGCCTTTCGCCGCCGTGTCATATCTCGCCGCGCTACGCTCCAATCCTCCCCACCCCTCCCACAGTCTTACCTCGCTTCCGCGAGCTGCGGCCATTCCTAGCACCCTTCTCTTCCCACTCCCTCCTCCGCCCCGCGGCGTGCGTTATATCGCGTACGCCGCCATGACTGCGCGACGGCGCGCTGTGCCGTCCACTACTGGCAAGCGCGTCGCCTCGTCTGCTGCCCACAAGTGCCTCTGGGGCACCGGCTCTTAGCGGCGCCGTCGTAAGCGCGCTTAGTGAATCCACGTATAACGGCCGACCTTATAGCGGGGATGGCTGCGACACACCCGCACATGCGGCGGCACACCCGCACCAATCGGTTGAGAAAAATGAGACTACCCCTCATAAATACCATCACCGCGCCTTCCACTCCCTCCCCCACCACCAGCACCACCCCCACCACTCCCACCAACATCAGCAGTACCAGCAACATAAACGAAGGGGTCTGGTGGTCAGACCAACTAGAGTCAACCTAGCAGCCGCGCCGTCCGCCGTTGCGCGGGCAGCGGAGCCGTCTAACATCAACGTGCTGGAAGGCGCGGCGGAGAGCAGCGGGCGCGTGTTCATCACCGCGTGAGTGCCGCTTCTCCCCTCCGCGCTCCTCTTCTCCGCACACCCCCGCGCTCGCTCTTCCCCCACGTTGCTCCCTCCTGAGAGTAGCGTATACGTGTTCATCATTGCGAGACTCGCTCGCCCCGCTACCTTCCTCTCCCCTCGGTCGCTCCCTCCCTCCATACTCCCTCCCTCCCACCCCCTGCACCCACTGCACCCACTTCACCCACTGCACCCCCTGCACCCCCTGCACTCACTGTCTGCTGTACCCATTGCACATGCCCGCGGCAGGTACGACGATAAGGGCTTCACGGTGGGCTGCGGGGACGTGGACTCAAAAAGCGCCTCACGTCTTGCATGTGTTCTACCCTCCTCCTGGTCCGCTCCCCATGCACCACCACCCCACTACCCGTGGGCGCCGGCAGGGACGTGGACTCGCCTTGTGGCTCGTGCTGATCCCATCCTTCCATGCGCCCCTACTCCCCTGCACCCACTGCACTCGCTGCACATGCCCCTCGCAGATACGACGACAAGGGCTTCACGGCAGGCGGCAGGGACGTAGACTCGCCTTGTTGCTCCTTCTCATCCCAACACTCCGTGCATCCCTATTCCCCTGCACACGCCACCCCTGCACCTACTGCACCCGCTTGTAGATACGACGAAAAGGGCTTCACGGTGGGCGGCAGGGACGTGGACTCGTCCATCCTCTGTGTGGGTGACGTGGAGTGGCACTCTGCTGGTCGCCCTCCTGCCTTGCTGACGTCACACCCGACAGGTGAGGGGAGAGGGGCGAGTGCGAAGAGAGGAGAGGGGTTAGATGGGTAAGGGGGGTGAGAGGGATGGGAGGGGGGAGAGGGATGGGAGGGGGGAGAGGGATGAGGGTTCGGGATTGAGGGGGGTGAGGGGTGTGGCAGCGGTTGGAACCTCAGAGCTGTCAGTGCTGCTGGTGTTGGTCAGTCTTCCATTCCACAGCACACGATGGTCACCTCCTTCGTTCCTTCTTTGGTTTGCGGTACTCATGACTTTTTGGCGCATGGCATGCCTGCCTTCCTATCTGCTTCCTCCCTCCTATCGCCACTCGCCTCTCTCCTCCTCAGTGCTTTCGGCCCTCACCCCCACCTCCACGTGCCCTCGCTTCATTCGTCTCCATCTGACCCTTCCTGCCATGCCACCACCTCTTTCTCACCTCTTTCTCATACACCAAACAACCTGGGGGCTCTCAGCTTAACCCTTCCGCCCATTTTTCCCGTTTTCCTGCGGACTCTCTGCTGGTTCCACCCTTCTTCCCAGTTCCCCCCCTTCCTTGTGCCCTTCCCCTCTGCTCGTCTCGATGCATCTATTCCCCCTTTCTGAGTCCGTCTCCTCCCTCTCCTTTTTCCTCCTTCCCCCTCGTCCCCCCAGCCTTTCTGTCACTCAGTCTTGCAATCCAGCCCGTACCTGCCCCCTCTCCCGCATACTGTCTCCTTACCCTCCACCTCACTACCTGCCCCCGACTACCCCTCTTCATCTTCCCCATTCTCTTCCCTCTTTCTCCCCACTTGCCGCCCCTGCCTGCCCCTCCCACGCAGTCTGGCGCTCTTTCAGCTCATTCGCCCACAACCAGGTGAGCAGCTGTGAATGCCATGACTGCTGTGCGGCTGTGAATTTTGTGCAGCTGTGACTGCTGCTACTTGCAACGTTGCTTGTTGGGTTCGCCTTTGGAAAGAGCACGCTGACCTGTGTGCGGTGAATGGTGCGCCGCTGCCGTGTAGGGCATGCACGTCTGGAAACTAGAAGGCAAGGCATGGGTAGCATAGCATGTCAAAGGCATGGCATGGCATGGGCAAGGCATAGAACGTGCCAACTTCCTTTCCCCCCTCCCCTCCCTCCCCTCCCCTCCCCTCCCCTCCTCTCCTCTCTTTTCCTCTCTCCTCTCCTCTCCTCTCCTCTCCTTTCCTCTCCTCTCCTCTCCTCTCCTCTCCTCTCCTCTCCCCTCCTCCTCTCTCCCCCCCTCCCCTCCCCTCCTCTCCTCTCCTCCCCTCTTTTTCCACCCCTCTCCTCACCTCCCCTCTTCTCTCCTCTCCCTCCCTCCGCCCTTTTCTCCTCCTTCCTATGGACACCCCACCCTCCCCCTCCTTGTGTGCAGAGCTGCTGCTGCTGGGCACGGGGCAGCGCATGCAGGCAGTACCAGGGAGCTTCTGAGGCGCCTCAAAAGGCCTCACCCCTCTCTCCCATTCCCCACCACGTCACCGCCCCCTCCCTCGCTATGCAGAGCTACTGCTGCTGGGCACGGGGCAGCGCATGCAGGCAGTGCCGGGGGAACTGAGGGAGTTCGTGAGGGCGTGTGGCATGGAGCTCGAAGTGCTCTCCACTGAGAGTGCTGTGCGCCCAGTCAGTGCTGCATGTCCGGTAAATGCCTCTGGTACAGCTGGTGATGCTGGTAACACTCGAGGTGCTGCTGGTGCTGGCAGTGCGGTGCAGCACCAGGGGAACTGAGGGAGTTTGTGAGGGCGTGTGGCATGAA